GGGGGGGGGGGGGGAGCTCTCGTGATCTCGAGGTACAGTGTTCGCCTTTCATTCATTAGGTCCAAAGCTCGAAACCTTCACTATGCTTCTTAGGCAAATTGCTGCTGTCTTCGCAAAGGGACATGGTGGCTTTGTGACGAGGAATCTCCTTGATCGAAAGAAAACTGGACGATGGATTGGAACGTGTAAACAAACAACACAGTACGATAAAACAGACAGTCCTCTCATACGACGAATCTGATGCAATTTATCGTTGCGTGTAACCGGGGCTTAAGCCGTGGTGAAAGTAGAAGCTTTGACTTGACTAGAGATGCGCAACGCACATTGTGACCTTGATGCACAGCTTCGCCCCATTGACGATCAACTAAACAATAAAAAGCTAAAATATATCTCTAAATATATATTTTAATAACGCTCCAAATCAGGTTCGGCGCGAACAGCGATGTTTATTTTGAGACGCTGATTCCGAATATAAAATCAGTTTTTACCTAAGATAATTATTTTGAGCCCTGAGTTTAGTTCTGCGCGGCGGAAAATTTCAAAGTGATTCTTCGTCACAGCGCGTCTCCCCCAAACCTGACCGTGATCGCACGGTAAGAGGGTTTTATTATGAGGTCCTTGAGATTAGGAAAGCCAGTAGTCTTATTTTATGTTTTACAAATCATTTATCTCATTACTATTACTACATGTATTACTGGTGTAAAAATCTAGATGTCCTAGCGGCTCCTTAATATATATTTTTTAAAGTCCAGCTTGCGTAACTTTAACAACAACGGCGAATAACTTCTCTGTTAAAGAAAGATGAAGGAAGGGGGGGGGGGGGGGGAAGAGTTTGAGTCTCCTTTAATTTAGCACTGTACCTGATTTAATCTACCATAGTAGTCTCTCAAATGAGGTCCCATCGTTTATGATCCCGGTTCACTTAAGATTCCATTGTTAAAATTATTTTAAAAAAGAAACTACCCCCAAAACAACACATTTTATTACAGAAAAGTCACCTCCAAGATCCCACTCTGGAGTCTTAAGTTCCCGCATTTCAGATAATGTTTTACTGAACAATAAAATCTTCATGGATCATCCACTCTCATATACATATATTATATACGATCACATCTCCGCTCTAAATTTCTCGACGAGTAATACAATGTTCGCCTCTGGTCTTACAATGAAAGGATCACACCCAGGTGTGAACTTTTCGACGCCTTTTTTTATTTCTCCTAACATCGAACTACAGCAAGGCGTGATTCAGTAGGCAGGGCCAACAAGGCTGCATCAGAGAGGATTACATCGAACAGTGATTTCATCGGTGTTTATGTTTCCCTGACCACCTATCAGGTTTGCTTCCGAATTTGCCACACAGATTTTGCGCCTATGTACTCTGGGACTGTCCGATTGCCTTTGTGTAATGTAATGTGCATGAGCCAGCCTTTCATTCTTCGAATTTTAATTGGTTCGTTTACAAAATAATGACGAGTTACGACCTGAATATGAGCGGTGATTTAATCGGCCAGAGATGAAGGAAAGCAATAAATGCTTGACAGGTAAAAGGGTGGAGCAATGAGTGAGATAACGCTTTATTATAACAAATAATCGAAGTGGCTAGCCGTACTTAAGTACGGCTAGACTGCCAGTCTAGCCGTACTTAGATCTAGGTTTGGCCCAATCGACTCAAGCCTGTTAAGTACACAGGTCTCATTAGATCTAGATCTAGTAATTATTCAGGTTCAAATACATGCAAGTCAGTAAGGCACCTTTTGGTTTTGACTGAAATACACATACTTTAGGCATTGCAAACTAAAAATTTCATTTACAATTCAGCCATCAATATTAAGTACGGCTAGCCTGACAGTCTAGCCGTCCTTAAGTACGGCTAGCCTGGCTGTCTACCCGTACTTAAGTACGGCTAGACTGCCAGTCTAGCCGTACTTATCTTAGGCCCTATTAACATTAGAAAACAGGAAGTTTAAAATACATGCCCTATTAACATTAGAAAACAGGAGGTTTAAAATACATGCACTGTCATTAAGGCACATGGTTTTGTCTCAAATACAAATACTTTAGGTACTGCACACTAAAAATGTATATTTACAATTCAGTAGGCCTATTTTTTGTAAATGGTCAGTCTAGCCATCATATTAAGAATAAGTACGGCTAGACTGTGAGTCTAGCCGTACTTAAGTACGGCTAGACCATAAATAATAGGCAATGGAGCCCAACGACACAAGCTAACAATTAAGACTGGAGTACTTGCGCATCAATACAGTTTGTAAATTGTTTGTTGATCACGAATCCTTTCAGCAGGATCTTATAGTGTTCTCTCTTTTTCTTTTTTCTTCTCTCTTTCTCTCTCTCTCTCTCTCTCTCTCTCTCTCTCTCTCTCTCTCTCTCTCTCTCTCTCTCTCTCTCTCCCTCTCTCTTACCCCCCTCTCTCTCTCTCGATCTCTCTCTCCTCTCTCCTGTCTCTCTCCCAGGCCCACCCCACTACCCCATCCCTCATTTTAGCATTCTCTCCCATACCATAGCCAACTGCCCAGCCCTATGCGATCCTTTGTAAAGAAAAAACCGCAGTTCGCCCTGGGTGACCATATTATTATAATTGCGCAATTTTGCATGTTCCACTGGGCGTGCTGCGCGCGGTGCTGTGAAGAGAGAGAGAGAGAGAGAGAGAGAGAGAGAGAGAGAGAGAGAGAGAGAGAGAGAGAGAGAGAGAGAGAGAGAGAGAGAGAGAGAGAGAGAGAGAGAGAGAGAGAGAGAGAGAGAGAGAGAGAGAGAGAGAGAGAGAGAGAGAGAGAGAGAGAGAGAGAGAGAGAGAGAGAGAGAGAGAGAGAGAGAGAGAGAGATGAGGGTCCATATTTGTTGTAAGGTCCTTGCACCTACCGTATACTGATACATTATTCATACTCGAATCAAAACCCGAACAAGCCTGTCGCCCGTTTTTTTGATAGCCGGTGTGTGCCCCCCGCCCGCGGCGGGCGGTACAAGGGTGTAGAATGGGGAAAAAGGATTATTTTTGTGTGTCCTGGGCCGCCATAGGTTATACATAGAGAGTCTGTATCCCTCCCCGAAGAGCGAGAA